CCTGTAATATCACCAGCACCCTCATCCTTCAAAACCGGAACGCAGTGATGCTCACATTACGGCTCGGCGGCAGGTAAGGTGGCAGTACTTCCCTGGACGAACTCTGTCAAAAGGAGCGCTATAGGTACTAAAATACATATATATAATAATTTTATATTAATAGGTGGTTAGCCCTCGTTGGGACAATACGATAGACCTGGTAAGTAGCAGGGTTGATTATGGTGGTGCTTCACTTGATGAAGTACTTGAAGATTTCAACTTTAAATCTATAGCATTCATTGCCTTGAATGAAACTCCCATTGGTACTAGCATCGGTATTATGTTGACCTTCACTGGTTCTTGAATTACTTTTTTCTCCACAATCTTAAGTTGGTATAATTGATTCGTTTCGTCGTTATTTCCACCAAAATTCTCAAAAGGAGAGGTGTGTTAGACGCGCCTATGAATCAGTACTCTCATTTAATTCCAAACTCCGCGTCATTTTCATAACATACATATGTATTATAAATCATATAGATATGAGGCCCTTTTGGGGTGAATATTGTATTTAGTTGAAAGTATTTTATATTAATTGTAACTTTTATATCATTTTATATGTGACAGTCTTTTCAAAATAATTCTTTTAATATAAACTATATAGAGCGAGCCTTTTCTTTCCTTGCACAAGGTTACGTTCATATTATAAAGTTGTACATCCAAAAGGTTCAGTTCCCACTTTCGAGTTTATTAAATAACAATGTGTCTGGAAAACATCCGTTCTGTATTGGACTAGACTTTTGCCACATAATACACAGTATCATGTACGTTTAAATACAATAGTGTGGACGACGCTGACCTCTTTCCTTTGCCATCTACCTTCTTTACTGGTTCCTGAGCACATACTTTTAAAATTTCGAATCGTTCTCAAAATCCCTCTTCTGTCCACTATTTTTACGTTGATTAGTAAGGTCATCACTGTCATCAAAAGTCTCAAAACGAGAGGACGTGCTCATAGATACATATATGTATGTATATCGGCCCTTTTGGGCCTTCTCGTTTCTACTTGTAAGTAAATGTATGTGGACCGAGGTTTTTCTTTTCTTTCGTTAAGGTAGACCACAAGTGATTTACTAATCTGCCACAACGATCTCGACTGCTACTAAACGTTTCGGGCCCTTTACGGATCACATGGTCACGGCTGACGGTTTGTTAGAAAAAAACAAATGTATTTAGAGCCGAAAAAAATTTTTAATTTCCTATGTGTAACAATCGCGAAAACCAATGAGTTCGATAGTTGTTAATGTTTTATTTTTAAAGTAATTGGACTTGCTCTTGACCACTACCTAGCCTTGGAGCAATGATAGGGTCTACGATGGAACGAGCGAGAGACAAGATGATTCAGTCGTACTTTATAGATACTTGAGTTGTATGAGCTCAGAAACACTGTCGCAGGCAGTACATTCATATAATTCCGCAATTTTTTTTAATTCAATTTTGATAATCGATTTTGCCAACGTTTGCCTACAATGTAGAATCGATTCTCATCTACGGGTCTACACCAGGAAGTGTACTATGGAGGAGTACATCATGTACATCAAGTACATCATGACATGTGAAATTCCTTTATCTCATGGGCTCCTTAGAGATCCGTGCCCAAACGTGAGGCGTACGTGGGTTACCCTTCAAAACCGGAACGCTGTAATGCTCACGTTACAATAGACGAACTCTTCCCCAAGGAGCTACAGCACAAGTAACTACGTTGTGTACGTTGGTAAAAAATAATAAAAATATGGACAACAGTATTAATAATAATGGCAGACAACACCAATTATTCCGAGGCATAACCAAGAGCACCCACATCAGAACCAATTTACAAAGTTCGTTTCCAAAATTGGTCCAACAGGGAATCGAAACTAGGACCTCCTTATCTAGTGCCCATAGTGCTAACCGCTGGGCCTTCAAGTTCGCCAATTCAGGGTCTAGCTATTAAGCTGTTGTTGTTCCTAACACAATAAAAATAAAACTCATCGGAATGTGTTCTACCACAGATTATTAAGTATTTTTCAACGTTATTTGGTTTGTTTACTTTTCTACAAAATTTCTATTGAAACATACTATAATAAGTGTTATATTGAAGAACCATTTTAGTTAACGCGTCTGTTTAGTTTCATCGTGTTGTTTACACCGTCAACCGGAGTTGATCGCATACCGCTCAAGAAAATGAATTAATTACATTTAAGAATAGACTATGGTGTTATCTGAATTACGTTACATCCGGGCTCTAATCTCGAAGCGCGAAATCCGTAGTTACAGCCGTTTTTCTATTATGGATAACCTACAGACTTGAGAATTTTCATATGAATTTTTGGCCGACTTCAAAAAAAGGAGGAGGTTCTCAATTTGACTGTTTTTTGTATGTACGTTACGCGATAATTCCGGCTATAATTTGTGTACCGATTTTGATGATTCCTTTTTTGTTGGAAAGAGGATAGCTCATTATTGGTCCCATTTAATTTTGAAGAAAATATTCCACCTTTAAGGGTGGCAAACTAGGGGATAAATCCGCCAATTTCAATAAAACTTGCAATAAAACTAGAAGTAATTCCTAAAAATTGAGGTAGATTTTTTTAATAAAAAAGTTCCAATTATGGAACATAACATTGCCAAATTATATTTTTATTTTCATCTGACAATATAATCATTGACATAGACAACTCTAGAGTCATAACTTGATGGTCCCACAATAACTTCTACTACTAGTTAGTTCTAAAAAAAAATAGTTTTTCCTATTACTGAAGTAAACAGGGGTAGCTGATAAGTTAAAATATTATAATATTATATTTTGTGAAGAAGTGAGTCACAGAACTTCATTGTCATTGTTCTGTAATTGTTTGTGACTTGTGAATGACAATTAACATATTGACGATGGAACGTCATAGACAAGCAATTACGTAGCAGGTATATGTCTGTGTGGGTCACCATTACGATAGAGATTAGGGAGTTACCACACTCATAGCGGAACCATACTAAGCCGGCTATAAAAAGCGTTATGTCCATTATGATAAGAGCGAAAAAGACGTAAACTTGCCTGGACATAAAGGTTCTCCTGACTGGTTTAATAAGTATGGTGACTGTCTAACAGGATATATTATTTTGTATATTCGATAATTTGGGATTGATATGTGACATTTTTAATAATATGAAAGCATGACATTGGGCTAAATAATAAACGAGTCTAAATATAAACCTATGAGTATTTCATCAGGACGACCTTCTGTTCTGAGAAGTGCCCCAAATTAAATTCCGTTGCTCTGGTACTCATAGTGCAGGGAATTCCCTAGTTTGAGACCAGGCAATTAGTGTGGTTGTCTGACACGTGTTATGATGATTGTATAACAATTAGGTTTCTTTTTTTTTATAATACCAAATGACTGGACGAACAAGCCGTGCGTCTTCTGATAAGCGACACGGCTGTCCATAACATTTACAAGGTTCCTTTTTTCTATTGTTTATTTTTTTTTTTAATATTCTATATTAATTGTCATAGCTTCGTTTATATTTGAGTTATTTATAACAAAATAAATTATTTTTTATCTTTATCTTTTACATCGCATTTGTGATCTTTAGAGTACACAACACGCTGTCGTATTGTTGTTTACATAATTATTTAATTTTTCAATCGCGTCGTAACATAATATATTAAACTCTAGAGTTCTTAGGTTTTCGCGATTGATACACATAAGAAATAAAACTATTTTTTCGGATCTAATTCGCGTTTATTTGTTTTTTCCACTCAACCCAACGTTTCGGGCCGTTTCGTTTCGTTTAGATCCGCAAAAATAGTTTAATTCCCTATATTATATTAAACTACCATAGCAAAAGCACTGAGATACTGTTTTGCCTTTCTGTCATAGATCAAGGAACATTGCTTGTTGTACAAGTAAATTAATAGGTAGTTACGTACCTACTTACCTAACACATTTTTTATTAGGCGCTTTTTACCGGAGCACCATAAATAACAGAAACAAGCTAGTGGTTACTGGACGAAGCTTTTTATGACGCTCGAGTTTTTTGTTCTGCACATTTCATTAAAAAAATACTTTGTACAGGTAATAGGTTATTACTTATATTACTTACTTAAACAAACGCATTGTGAAAAATGATAGTATATGGCATTTATAAAACACACGTACGCGTGTAAGCATCTATGTTTTGCGATGTTTATGTATTGATTAATAAATAAATTTAATACCCAACAATAACGAAATAAAAAATTAAGTTTGACATTAAATATCGTGCAATTTTGTTGTGTGAAATTTAAAAAAGTTTGTATAATGATCGATAATTAAACAATTTAAAAACAGAATATCGTGTTTCATTTCGTAACAACTTTTTAAAATTATAATTTTATAACTTTCGGTAATTCATTTATTGTAGAAGCTAGTATCTAAACGCTCAATTTACCGAGTTTATCATTTATGATGTAGGGAAGTCCGAGTACATGGTTAAGTTTATAGCAATGCTCAATTATACCGTTGGATAGCCCTGAGACTATTAGCACCTAGCAACAACAAGTCTCAGTTGAATAGTGAACTTTTACTTGATTCATTATTACATTTACGAAAAGTAATTTTTCTTCGAATATTTTTATATACCTATATAGTTTAAGAAACAGTATAAAAGTGTGAAAGCAATATTGTTTTTCGAGCAAAGTTCGTGCACCGAACTTACCGGAATCGAAGAAAAGCGAGCACATTTAACTCATGAAACGACTACTAAACCTGCCGAGTGTGGAGCGGCGGCCGATGTAAAACGGCTACCGGTCAAGCGACTCCCGAATTATCACATTTCCGATTAATTAATTTGAATTCTTAATTGAGACACTGATAAGCGTGATTCAACACGCAGCTTTACCCGAAGCTATTCGAAAGTTAAAATTTCGAAGCGGTGATGGGTGACAAGAAGAAAAAAATAAAAGGAATAAAAATGTATAACGCAAATGTAAAAAAGGGTGTCCTCACCTGCTGCCGGGCGCGCGAGCACGAGCGGCAGCACGAGCAGCGGCAGCAGGGGCAGCCGCATACTCCTATGGGCGCATTGCGGCGCGTGTGGCGCTGTGCGCTGTCCGCCCGCCGGCGCGGCACTGGGCCGCTGCCGCGCGGCCCGCACGTGGCGGCAGGCGGCGCGCGTGCAACAAGTGCCCGCCGTAGCCGCTGCACCGCGCACCACGCGCATCCGACCGGACCATCGGCATCGGTGCGACGGTAACGGCGAGTTGGCGCGGACTGAACGCCTCGCGCGCCTTTTTTACACAAACACCGAACCTTCTCAATGGCTCGCCCGTCCGCTTGTTTTGCGTTCGACTTAAAAATGTAGAGCTGCTTGATAGCACTCGGTCTGCTGTGTACTCGGGATTTAGGTGCACTATCGCCTTTAAAGTAGATATTTTAAAAACAACTTCAGTATCTTCGAATAGGGTTAAAAATAGTCTTTAAGACGGAAATTGCAAGATTTGTGTACCGTATAACTTTTTCTTTTGTTTTAGTTTTAATTTGGGTGCTTTAGGATCCTTAAAATCACGACGTCAATAGCGAATTTTTTTTTCGATATATAATGTCGAAATAAGTAGGTATAACTTTCGTTTCATATACCCAAATTAAGTTAAAATGTATTAAATACCTACTCTGTACAAAAAATTACACCATTGGATTTAGGTGTTGCCAAATACTAGGACATTATTTGCGTTTACTTGCTGATAGTGTTAAATAGAAACAAAATTCAGAACCTAAAAAACCAAATATCTTACATTATTTATTTGTTCCAAATTACTATACAGGGGTCAAGAGCACGTCAAGTGACTCTAGAAAAATATATCCAAGTGTTTACAAAAGTCATTATGAACTCTACATAAGCGGAAAACGGGATCGTCTTATGAGACGTTATTAGTGTTTTTACACAGTTTTTTAACTACAATTGAGTTTATATTTCTTATTATTTTCTTAAAATCCCTAGACTGTAATGTTCAATTCGTAAATATTCTTTTGTAACTTTACTGTATGCAAAAAATTCATGTTAGATTCAGAAGAATTCATGTCAGATTCAGAAGAATTCATGTTAGAGAGATCTATTATTGATCTGTATGTTGTTTCAATATTAGTATATCACTAGGTAAAGATACTGGAATCTATTGAGTAGGTTTTCGCGATTGTTACTTACAGGAAATGAAACTATTGTATGTAATGGAAAAATATTTCCTTAGTCGAATTCCATGCCTACTACTACTCCTAAGAAAATTTTATGTTTTATCTATGTTATGTTGTCTACGACGACAGAGCCGATTTGAATTGTAAGTCTATTCTTGAGTGAAAGAAGTCCATCATGCATGGAAGCTTCTCAATTTTTTGGTAAAACAATACTGCATTAAAAAAGAAATGTGCTTTTCAGTTAGAATTGAAAGCCAAATTTCGGTATCGACCGCAAATGTTTTGGGACTCTAATAGCATAGCAAAGCTGTATATGAATTTTGGCCGCGGGCACGCGACGAGTCACGACTGCCCGACGACCGGCGGGCGGGAGGAGGGCGACAACGCGACGACGAGACGTGCAAGTGCAGCGCGCGTGTCGTCGACCCGCCGCATGCGCCGCCGCCGCGCCTTCCGCCTCCAACAATGCCTGCCGCCCCGTCTCACTGCCAGACACTCTAGACATTTCTTGAATCCAAATGTACCTGACCTCTCCATGTGATCTCTAAAAAACAACCTATACTTATCAACACGTTTCACTAACGTAACTTATACTAAAAGACAGGTGCTGCTGCACAAATGACTCTATTGTAATTCTACATAAAGCATGTAGCTAAAGTAGCATACAGATGTAGATAGCTTATTATATTTTAATGCAAAGAGAATTATGTGAAATTCATTAAAACTCTTGTCCAGTTTGTGATGTTTATTTACTAAGCAAGTGACCAACCAAGATTATCAGACACCTACTCACATGTTGGTACGACTTTTTAATTGAACTCTGTAACAACATCGCTTTAGTCACGATTCAATAAACCATGTTAAATAACACTACTAGGCTGATTAGTTTAACTTAATCGTTGATCAGGCGAGCATTGAACTGACGCATGGTTATAATTCAAGGGCGCTCTTCACTAGTTTGAGAAAAAAACTTGGTGGAGCAAAAACAATATTCATTGTACTGCAAATACTCGTACTCAATGATAAATTAACAACTTAGAATGAGTATCTATCGGGCGTATTTTTGTACAGACAAAATCCTAACAGAGAAGATATACTGCCTATAGTGGTTTTACAGCACAGTCATTGTAAAGGTAAAAATACTTGTTAAGTGAGTGCTGTAAGTCATTGCTTCCAGTTTCATTACAGGTTTGAAGCACAGTATTTTCGAATCATAGTACAGCTTTGAAATTATAACAATAATCATCACCGAAGAAAAATATTCTACAAATAAAAAATAGCGCAAAACCAATTGAATTAATGTGTGCAAGGGTTACGTTTATCTAAGGTATTTTAATATTCTCGTAACTTAAAAACAGCTGCTCCATATAAAATATTAAACAGCTAATAACTTTGCATGGCCTCTTATTTTCCCAAAAAAATATTTCTATGTTAGTATATACAAAATGAACACTGTACGTCACAAGCGCAAAGCTTTGTTTGGTTCGATTTCAAAGAGAATATAAGACAACTACAATCCCTCTACACAAGACTTGGGTAAGTTACCACGCATTCTTTACAAGCAGATCACATGCAGCACTCACAAGTATTCTGGTGATACTACAGGCACATGAGATTTGTCAACTTTACACTGTTGGCACTGCAACACTGCTGCCGTTAATTGCAAGGGCGTTTATGACAAAACTCAAAACCAAGAAAATAATGTTTGAAGAAATGAAATTAAAAAAATATCTGCTGTGCTCTTGCTGTAACTTCATACCTTATCCACTTCCACCTCCACTACCGGAAAAAATACTGATATATCGGCTTTTTTAAACAAAATGTCACATGCGCCCTTTCAACTAACGGCGGCAGAATTGTTATGTATAGCCGTGTGGATTACTACCAGGCCCATGACTTGTCCGTTCCGTCACCTGATATCATAAAAAAGTCCCCACTGATAAATAGCACTCTACACTCGCTAGTAATGGTCCCGGATAGCTATTTCTGTTATCATCCAGCATCTGGGAATACCAGTGCAGTACAGCGGAGCTCGCTTCGCCAACTGTCGCTGAGTGGACTTAGAAGGCTACGCTTCCGAACTTCGGGCGATAGATAGAGTTCCTCAAGGTTCCACACTGTCTGCAATTCTCTTTCTTCTGCATGTCAATGATATGTTGATTCCAAGTACCTTTGCGTATGCTGATGACAGCACAGTTGTAGATAAATGCTTGACCAATGCAAGGGTCAGTGGAGAGGAACTCCAGTCTTATCGAAAGTCCATGGCTAGCCGTTTGGATTTGACACTCAAGGCAGTCTCCGACTGGGGCAATACCAATTATGTCAAATTTAACGTAGCTAAAACGCAGGCGAGTCTATTCTCCACAAAACGGAGTCACTTTCTCCAGCTACTTGGAATGGATCTGTCGTCCAATTTGAACTTCAGCTGATACATTGAATCCATGGCCAAAAATGCAGCAAGGAAGCTTGGCATCCTTTCCAGGGTCAGGCGTTACTTTACTACTAAGCACAAAATCCGGTCGTGTATGGAGTACTGCCACCTACGGGATGGCTCTGCTACGTACCAACCGGGCACCTTAGATTTAATTGACAAGCGAGCCAAGAGGCTTATAGGTGACTCGGAACTAGTAGAGGCGAAGCTGCAGAGCCTTGAACACCGCCGTAAAGTTGCCTGCTTATCTGTATTCTACAGGATATATCACGGAGAGTGTGCGGTGGAATTACACGATTTAATTTCGCCTTCCCCTTTCCATCACCGGGGGACTAGACGTAGGCTTTGGTACCACCCCTATGTCGTGGATATTCCAAAGATTCGCAAGAAGCGTTACGCTTCCACATTTACATGGCGAACGGCTATGGAGTGGAATTCCCTGCCTACTTTTTCCCTGAACGTTGTAACTTGGACCTTTTCAAGGCGAGAGTGAATAGGCATTATTTATGTGCGCATGCTACATATCACTTTCCATCAGGTGAGGTGGAGGTCAAATGCGCAATTACATTTTTATAAAAGAAAAAACTTTACAATCCATACGGATCCTCATGATTGAGTCATTCAACGAGAGAGAATCTTGACAAAGCGATTTAGGATTTTAAAGAATCCGCACAATGATTTGTTCTTAAAAATGGCCTGTCGTCAGTGGGTTTCAAAGCAGATTTACACTTATAAAAAGTGTTTGGTTACAACTCTATATTATATGTATTGCAGTTTGTACAGGTGTGGCTTTATATCTAGTAAATGAACAGGTTGATGACAATTTAGAATTTTTAATGCGTCATGCCAAATTATTACTAAGTAAATATTTGTTTGTTATATATTTCTTATCCGTTCTCTATACAATGGATATTTCATACCCTTGGTATAATAAAGCGACATGTAATCATAGATCAAAAGTGTTTTACCACAAGAAAGTCACAAAAATAATACAAGCTACATGAATCATCGTGGTTATTCACTGGACGATTGTCACTAGTGAGTTTCGCATGTGGATACAGTGACTGCAGTTTGTCGTCGACAGCGAAAGAGAGTAGACAGATATGTCTGTTCTTAAACCTGTCATCTGCCGCTGGCCAGTCAACCCGTGACCATGGAGCGTGTAACCTTCCGAAATACAGGGAACATAAAAATAAATCATAATCATGGTAAGAAACCTGTAATTGGTGATAATCGTTTACATTAATCAAATTATTTGTATGTGAACTAGTTTTATTCGCATAATCTTTAAACCTGTCTTTTTATCTAAAGAAGGAGGCAAACGAGCAGTGGAGCCACTTGATGGGAGGTGGGCATCGTTGCTCATGGATATTTGCAACGTCAGATGAGCTGCCAATACGTTGCCAGTCTTTGAGAGCCCGGTAAATACGCTTTATGAAGAACCCCATGTCATAGTGCAAAGGAAATACTTCAGGAGGAAGATCATTCCACATCTTGCAGGTTCGAAGAAGGAACGAACGAGATGCCCACGTGGTCATATACGTGCGCGTGGTGTCTCCTGTGAAGTTGTAATTTTGCTGATGTGGTCTTATTACACCAGGAGTGCCATTTCAGTTACAAACTTTCCTGATGATATTTTCCGTCAA